CATTTTTACAAGAAATTATCTGTGATTATTTAGAAAAATCTAAATTGATAATGATTTAAATCTATGCAGTATTTAAGTGTAAAATTGATATTTATGCTGCCCATAGGTAATCAAAATATCCTTCAAGATTTGATCTGATAGGACAAGAAAGGAAAGATACCTAGTTTTTGTGTCTGTTTATTGATACTCATGAATAAAACTGTGACTAATATTAAACCTGTCTGAGTCAATTATTAAAAAACCCCTTGTCCCAAGCTGCAATTATGTGAATACTTAGAAAAGTTCATACTAGGGGGAGCCAGGATGGCAGAATATAGGCCAGGTTCCAGGTGAGCTCTCCCAACATTCCCCTCCAAACAAATTTAAAATAACTCCTTAAGTGAAATTTTGAAGCAGCAGAGCCAACAAAGGATAGAGAGAGACATTTTTCCAGCCTTACACAACTTAAGAGGTCCACGGGAGAGATCTGTATTACTGGGGTGAGCATCAGCCTGTACAGTCAGCAGGAGCACCATTACTGGGCCCTGGAGATGACTGCCACAGCCTCAGCAGCAGCTTCAGGAGCTCTCAGCCCAGAGATAGTAAGGGGTCAGACAATTGGTCAGAACGACTTTACAGAGGGCCCTTTGCTGGTACTGGATACAGCTGTCACTGATTGGGAACTCAGCTGACCATAAGCAGCACCAGGTGGAGAGGAGCACTTGTGATTGGTCACAAAGGAGCAGAGACCTTGGTCACAGTTCCAGGGCCAAGAGGAACACTAGCATTTGAGGCTTCAGGGGAGCAGGGGTTCTTCCTGGGTTAAGATCATAACACAGACCAGAAGAGCAGTTACCACACCCACATAACACCATCTTGGAAACACAAAAACTTACAGATCCCCAGCCTACCCCGCTCCCAAAACTAATTCTGGAAACAGTAGCACAAAAAAGCCTGAAGCTTGGAACAGTGCCTCCTTACCACCAGGTGAGCAGAGCCCAACTTTACCATGAAGTATAAAGTCAAGAAATAGGCTGGAAAAATGAACTTTAAAAAAAAAAAACAAACACAACCATAAAAAGCTACCTCTGTGGCAGGGAAGAGATTATCCTAGCCCTCAAGGTACATGAGCTAGGCAATCTAAGACATAAACTTAGAAGAAGACAACAATATGAAAAGAGGTACAAGCAAAGCCTTAAAGAAAAATGCTGATTGGACCCAAGACCAGCAAAAATCCTTGAAGAGTTAAAGAAAGAGATAAGTGTGGTAGAGGAAAAATTGGGTAAAGAAATTAAAATGATGCAAGAAAATGATAAGAGAACAGCTTGGTAAAGAAGGCATCAAAAAATACTGAAGAAAATAACACCTTAAAAAACAGAATTGGCCTAATGGTTAAAGAGGCACAAAAATTCACTGAAGAAAAGAACTCCTTTAAAATCAGAACAGGCCAGATGGAAATGGAGGCACAAAAATTCACTGAAGAAAAGAATTCCTTAAACATTAGAATAGGGTGAGTGGAATGTAATGACTCCATGAGACTTCAAGAAATGATAAAATAAAGTCATAAGAATGGGAAAAAAATAGAAGAAAATGTGAAATGTCCCATTGGAAAAATAGCTGACCTAGGAAACAGATCAAAGAGAGATAATTTAAGAATTGTTGTACTACTTGAAAGTCTTGATCAAAAAAAGAGCCTAGACATCATATTTCAAGAAATTATCAAGGAAAACTGCCCTGATATTCTAGAACCAGAGGGTAAAATAGAAGTTGAAAGAATTCACCAACCACCTCCTGAAAGAGATCATAAAATGAGAACTCCCAGGAAATCATAGCCAAATTCCGGAGCTCCCAGGTCAAACAGAAAATATTGCAAACAGCCAGAAAGAAAGAATTCAAATATCTTGGAGCCACAGTCAGGCTAACACAAGATTTAGCAGCTTCCATGTTAAAGGATCAGAGGGCTTGGACTATTATATTCCAGAATTACAACCAAGAATACTTACCCAGCAAAACTGAATATAAGCCTTCAGGGGAAAAAATGTATATTTAATGAAATAGAAGACTTTCAAGTATTCCTAATGAAAAGACTGGAGCTGAATAAAAAATTTGGCATTCAAACATAAAACTCAAGAGAAGCATAATGTAAACATGAAAAAGTAATCATAAGGGACTCAGTGAAGATAAACTGTTTACATTCCTATCTGGGAAGATGATACATGTAACTCCTAAGAGAACTTTATCACTATTAGGGCAGTTGGAAGAGTCTACATAGACTGGGAGTTGTTTATTTGGGGATGATTTCCCAAAAAAGAAATGTAGAGATGAGAAAGAGAGATGCACTGGGATAAGGGGAGAGAAGGAGAAGGAGAAGGGGGACATTTTTCTCACAGGTATGTAAGGAAGAGATTTTATAGTGGAGAGGGAAAGTGGGGGTGGCAGTCAGGCAATGCTAGAACCTCATCTCATCAGAACTGGTTCAAAGAGGGAAGAAAAAATATAAATGTATGTATATGTGTATACACACACACACTCAGATGAGTATAGAAATTTTTCTTACCCAATAGGGAACAGGAGAAGGGAATAAGAGATATGAGGGAGGGGGAAATGATTTAAGGACGGCAGTGGTCAGAAGCAGAACTGACTTTCTAGGAGGGAAAGGATAAAAAGAATGAAATAGGATCGAGGGAAATACACTGTTAATAATCACCACTGTGAATGGGAGTGGAGTGAACTAACCTATCAAATGGGAGCAGCAGAATGAATGGATCAAAAACCAGAATCCAGCAATGTGTTTTGTACAAGAAACATACTTGAAACACAAAGACGTGCACAGAGTTAAAAGAAGAGTCTGGAGAATAAATCTGTTATGCTTCAAGGTTACACACTTGCTTGATAAAGGATTTCAGGCATCCCTCAAAAAATGTGGAGGAAAACATCCTTTGAATATAGAGGAAATCCTTTAGCAGGCCTGCTTTAAACAGCAGTAAGTTATCCTAGTTGTGTGGGGTCCTGCCCAAGATTGACGAGCACGTACCTTGAGGGCTCAGACAATCTCTTCAGTCATATCTTTCTGAGCTGACTCTACAGAGGCTGGGTCTTAAATGAGGAAATAAAGGAGAAAAGCCTGGATCCTAATTTAACAACTGATTATTAATATAATAATAAAATAATTTCTGTCAAGAACAATCTTGAACTGTGCCCAGAGGAGTATAAAACTGCAAACCCTTTGATCTAGCAATACTACTCCTAGTTCTAGATCCCAAAGAGATCAAAGGAAAAGGACTTTTTGTTGAGTCTTTTCAGTCATGTCTGACTTTTGGGGCTTTCTTGGCAAAGATACTGGAGTGGTTTGACATTCCTTCTCCAGCTTATTGGACAAATGAGGAAACTGAGGCAAAAAGGGTTTAGTGACTTGCCCAGGGTCACATAGCTAGTAAGTGTCTGCAATTAGATTTGAACTCAGAAAGGTGAGTCTTCCTGACTCCGGGCCTGGCACTCTACCCACTAAGCCATCTAGCTGCCTCACGAAAAGGACTTAATTGTACGAAAATATAGCAGGTCTTTTTGTGGTGGTGAAGAATTGGAAACTGAGTAGATGGTCATCATTTGGGGAATGGCTGAACAAATTGTAGCATTGGTTGGTCGGTGGTTATCCTTCATTCTGGAAGAGGACCAAAATGACATCACTTATGTTAGAGTCAAGTTACAGTGGCTGATCAGACCAGTATGAGCTCAGAATGCTGTACCACCAGTCAGGTACAAATAAGCCATGTGAACATTTGGAGTGGATTCTCTAAATTTGCACATTTCACATTTCTTTTGAGCTACCTCAATTCTGCATTGCTCATAGAGCACAGTGCCTTCTTTGATGTGAATACATTATGTCTTTGCCAGCATCTCTCATGTCACACAATCAGTGCCAAAGTTCTTCAGTGAGACCTTGAGGGTGCATTTGATTATGATGTAATACTATTGTGGTATAAAAAATGATGGGGGGGGGAAACAGGGGGGACTAGGTGGTGCAGTGGATAGAGCACCGGCCCTGGAGTCAGGAGGCCCTAAGTTCAAATCCAGCCTCAGACACTTGACACTTCCTAGCTGTGTGACCCTGGGCAAGTCACTTAATCCCGACTGCCTCACCGAAAGAAAAGAAAGAAATGATGAGGGGATAGTTTCAAAAAAGCATGGCAAGAACTAAATGAACTGATGCAAAGTGAAGTCGGTATTACTGAGAGATTATTGTACACAATAATAATAATGTTTGAAAGACTTGACTAGTTTGATCAGTACAATTATCTAAGCCAATTCCAAAGGATTCATAAATCCATAAAATAATTTTTTGGTAGTTTGATTGGTATGGCACTGAATAAATATATTTAGATTTGTCATTTTTATTATTTTGGCTCAGCCCACCCATGAGCAATTAATATTTTTCCATTTGTTTAGATCTGACTCTATTTGTGTGAAAAGCATTTTGTAATCGTATAGTTCTGGGGTTTGTCTTGATACGTGGATTCCCAAGTGTCTTATATTGTCTACAATTATTTTAGATCCAAGACACTTAATTCCAAAAGACTCATTATGAAAAAATTCTATCCAGGGAAAAAACTGATAAGCTCTGAAGTATAATTTTCTCTCCTACTATCTTGGTTTCTTGCTTTTTGAGAGATCTGACTAATATGGAAGTACATTTTACATGATTTCAAATATATGATTGATATCATGTTGTTTGCCTTCTTGATGGGTGAGGGAGGAGTGGGAAGGAGGGAATTTGGAACTCAAAATTATAAAAGAATGTTAAAAATATATTTTTTTAAAAAGAAAAGATCATACTTCAAGCATTTGTTTGTTATCACATGTCAAATTTGGACACCACATAACAGAATATCTCCCAACCTTAAAAGACGTTCTTTGGTTATGTATAGGTAATTAGAGTAGTTGTATTTGATATTGATCATCGCAGCATATGAAAATTGTGATACATAGTTTTCTCTCATTTTTCTTCTCTCTGATATGAACAGAATCAAGCTATAGAAGTGGCCTGGGGTCACCAGCCTATATTCTTGAGCTGGGTAGAAGGGAAACATCATTCTAACCATGGTGAAAATGTGGCTGAAATTAATAGGCAGGTTGGCCAGAAACTTGGAATTTCAGATGGGGAACAGGTAAGCATCTAATGATGTAAAGAAGGGACTCATTTAAAAAAAAAAAAAAAGAAGGGGCTCATTTACTCTAATCGAATCAAAAATAGTAATGAAAAGAAATACCACAACATTCAGATTCTTCTTTCAGAATAGAGGAGAGAAAGCTTAAGTTTTTCTATGGTAAGCTCATATGTTTGTTTTTTTCAAAGACTAAAAGAACAAGACATTTTTTCTGCACATGGAGTCTATATCTGACTATGGCCTGCATTCACTTCCTGGACTGTTACAAACTATAAAATCACAGTCATTTCCTCCCAAAGTTCCCAATGTTTCTGCTTTACCAGCTGACTCTTAAATGCCCTCATACTTTACCTTATCAGAGATGACATTGAGAGTCAAGCAAGTGCAAGCTGATTGTATGCTCTTCTGGCAAAGTGGTGCTTATGTCAAGTTTTCCTAATGGGAAAAGGCCCTGTAATTCCATAGTTATTGGGAAAGTCCCCACTGTATCCTGGATATGGCCAAAGGACATGAAGCACATGCTTCTAGAAATATCCTTTCTGTTTCCCTCTTCCATGATCATCATTGCTCAAATGTTAGCGCTGCTCTGTTCCTGGTCTTAGATTGAAAACAAGGTATATCCTTCCATTTCTGTATTTCAATCATGGGTACTTATCCCACTTGTGTTAAAATTTAAAGTTCAATTCCCAGATATCCTTCTTTCTCTGCATTGTATCTAGACATCTGAGGTGAAGCATATATTTCTCAACCTCTCAACCTTCTTCCTTGTTACTTCCTCTTGTAAACTGTCTTAGATGACTTGGTTCTAATTCCTGACACAACACAACTTACTGGTTGGTTTTTTTTTTCCATTTATTTATAAGTGGATTTCTAATTGCATTTTTGTATATCCTTCTACAAACTATACCACTATACCACTGGCACTAGCTTCTGATAAAGAGAGAAAAAGATAATGGATCACATAATTTCAGGGATTTCCAACTTTTGAGTGGGATATATTAAGTAATAAGTGTTTGTTGACTGATTGGTAAGGGGCTATTCTGTTCCATACTTGTTTGTCTGAGCAATGCTTAAACCATGGGTCTCGACCCAAAAATTTGGCAACAATAAAAGGTTTCTGAACATGCAACAGCCAAAAATTAATTAAAAATCAAACTCATAATGGATCTGAGGTGTTTCTGGCAACACTTGCCCCTGTTGCATCAAGCATCTTCACTGCCGCCTTGGTTCTGAACACAAAACACGTACACTTTGCACTGCACATGCCCTCAGGCCCACACAAGCCAACAAATGCTGCTGAAATGTGAAAAGGGGTTCTGAGTGGAAATATTAAGAAGCCCTGGTCTAAAGTATGAGGCATATATTAGCAATTATGAAATGGAGACATCATAGATAAGAAAATGTAAGGGAAATACTGCTGACAAATTGTGGCATTAGCAAAAAGCAAAGCGCATCAGGATTTACCTGAATTGTAACCTCATTGGCTTCTCCCCGACCCTGTTTCACAGACAGTTTCAGAGGACACAAAGAAGATAAGCCAGCACTGTAGGCCTGTATTTGTAGCTTAGCAATACTGACAGTTCTCATAGGGAAGGAGTGTGTGTCTAGAAGGCCCCAAGACTGACCAGGTCAGAGTCTGCAGTTGACTTGTTAGGGGTCCTTCATCTAGACTAGCCCATCCTTTAGCTCAGTGTAAGATTTATTTACATTGAATCATTGGTTCTTGTTCAGCACAAATTTCAATTTCAATTTCAATGTAGTTCTCAATTTTCTAGATATTATTATTGTAAATTATTTTCATAAAATCTGTTTTAATATTATTTTGTAATTAATATAGGTACAGTTACCCTGGCTAGCATGTTGTATAACAACATTATTATTAATACATTATAACCAAACCTCTCTGTAAAATTGATGTGTCCCACTATTACATCGTTTAGTTGATTGCCTGAGTCACAAGTCAGATGATCTAATGGTGGAATAGGTGCCACTTGTAATATTTTTTGGCTAATTTCTTTTTTTAAAAAACCAATATATGTCTTTAGGTAGGATATGCCTGTGTAGATACAAATAATAAATTGTAACTGGGTCTTAGACATTACTTGACACCATAATGTCTCCATTTCCTTTTATACTTATTCTTGTTATATTTTCTGATAATATTTGGTATACTGCTATGTTTGTAGTTTTTTTTCTTAAATAGGTATGCCACATTAAATCCACACTACTGCTTACTTAAATATTTTACTTCCCACAGATAAGAACTCAAAATCCTAACGTACAAAAATTTTATTTTTTTCCAGGTGTTTCTCAGGCCCTGTTCCCATGTGGTGTCTTGTCATCAAGTTGAGGTGAAACCCCTCTCAGCAGATGATTGGGAGATACTGGTAAAAAAAAAAAAATAGTCAAAAGTATTGCCATGTTAAAGTTCAACTATTTTAAAATAACATTTTCATTAATTTTCCCTTCCCTGATATTAATTATAAACTTCCTAAAGTAATGTTACTCTGATTCAAATAAGATCTGATTTCATTGTTAGACAAAATATTTGCTCAGGAACAAATGCAAAATGTTGTTTGAGTCTTTTTTTTTTTGTATGTTTGTTTTGTTTTATTTTTGTTTTCCTGATATGATGTAAAATTGTCCTAGGAGCTGCATGCTTCTTCTCTTGAACAACATCTCCTTGATCAGATTCGAATAGTCTTTCCAAATGCCATTTTCCCTGTTTGGGTTGATCAGCAGACGTACATTTATATCCAGATTGGTAAGTGCTGTTTTTAAGATTTGCCATCTTATTCTACAGCGATGAAGGTATTAATGAGCTTGTTTTCTTCCCAGTTGCACTCATGCCAGCTGCCACTTATGGTAGGTTGGAAAATGACACTGAGCTGTTCGTTCGTCCCAAGACACGCCAGGCTAAAGAAAGTGCTGCAGAGCTGCCCTTTCCTAGAGCAGATGACACACAAGGAATATTTAATAAAGACAGAAGAGATCAGGAAGACCTGACCGGGGGAATTCAAACAAAACAATCTCATTCAAGCACTGCCGGAGCCCATGAGCTGAATGAACAAGATTCAGATCTTATCTTTGGCATGTTTACAATGCCAAACATATGGAATCTTATGGGGAGCATTTTTTCTTACGGAGCTGAGAAAAAAATGGACACACCCTGGGGTTCAAGTGAAATTAATGCATTCAAAAATATGCAGTTAACAGTTGTTCCAAAAGACTCTGTTTTCAGAGTATGTCATTCTCAGCCTCCCAGTATACAACGTGTGTCAGCAACATGTTTGTTTCAGAAGGACCATGCCATTCATATTTTTCCCTGGAATCAACAATATTTTGATTTGGAGCCCAGTTTTACTGTGACCTATGGAAAGTTAACTCAGCTGCTCTCTCCAAAGCAACAACCAAGTGAAACAAAGCAAAATGTCCAGTCACCTGAAAAGGAAAAGCAGATGGCTCACCAACAAGATAAAAAACAGATTCGCTCAGGTAGTAGTCAAGGAGTTGGTAAGGCCTGTGTGGTGCAGATAGTCTGGAATGGACTTGAGGAACTGAAGAATTCCATACAGTATAACAACACTATAGAAGCTCTCCATACTGGGAAAGTTTGGGTTAGTGTGAACCTTGTGACTTGGGGGGGAAAAGAACTCATTTGTGTATTTACAACACTTGAAACTATAATGGTTCTTTGTAAAAACTATAATGTGTTATATTAGGAAAACAGAACCTAAGATTTTCTATGTGGTGGACTACATGTGGGGAGATAACGTTCTAATTTTGTAGTAAAATAATTGGTTATTGAACAAATTGTAGTAGCACTGTCTGACAGATGCAGATTAGTACTATAGTAAGGTATACTATAAAAATGAAATAGATTAATGAAAAGTACCATTGTAATTGAATGTAATCAATCAGTAGGTATTTATTAAGTACCTGCAAGTTGTATTAGGTACTATGATGAATTATTACCCTATTTTGCCTCCATTGTTTGGTAGCAAAAAAGATTTTGTCCCTAGATTATCTCTTTGCTTTTAGGCAATTTGCTGCGAAGCCTATAAGTGGTGGTGTGTTCACTTCACCCCAGACCTTCCACTGCCTGCAGTAATTTCTTCCTCTGTGTCTTATGAGCAGAGGCAAGTCTGGCTTGCTGTCAGGTGTTAGGGGAAAGTGGATGCTATAGAAGTCCAGGAACATGGGAAAACTATCCCAGTTCCATAGAGGAAAAAGTTTAGGGATGTAGAAAGGACTAAATAAAGGAGAGCTTCCTTGGAGAAGACATCATCTCCTCTGCCTGTAGCTACCAGCTGGGAATGGGTGACTTTTATGTATACAACATCTCAGATGCTGATTTCCCCCTCATATGCCAGTTTCACATCCAATTTTCTGCTGCGTATTTCTATCTGGATTATCCCATTGTCACTAAAATTCATCATTTCTAAAAACTGAGCTCATCCTTATCACCTCAGAACTGACTGACCCTAATTTTTTTCTATTTCTATTAATGCTGCTATCTATATGTTCATAGAGTTCAGACCTGACCAGAAGGAACCTTAAAGGTCCTTTGTTCCAGCCCTCTCATTTTAAAGATAAGGAAATGGGCCCAAAGAGCTTAAGTGGGGACTTCTCCAAGGTCACATTAATAGTAAAGTGATGGAGTTGGAATTCCAACCCTCATCCTGTGACTCCGAAGTATAGTTTCTCTTTTCCCCACACTGCCCCTCCACATCTGTTCAGATAAACTGGTCTGTTTAGCTAAAGCTCCATACCAACTCAGACATAGTGACCCATCCTAGAATGCCATTCCTTGTCCTACCCGTGTCCCATTCATTTTTTTTAATTTAAATTTTTTTTTTTTTTTTGGCAGTTGGGGTTAAGTGACTTGCCCAGGGTCACACAGCTAGTAAGTGTCAAGTGTTTGATCTGAGGCCAGATTTGAACTCAGGTCCTCCTGACTTCAGGGCCGGTGCTCTATCCACTGCATCACCTAGCTGCCCCCCATTCATTCTTCATAGCATAGTTCACTTCCGTCTTCTCCAGGAGACCCTTCTGGAGCACTTCAACCAGTGAAACTTCCTTCCTCCAACCTCTCCAAATAGTCAGCATTTTATTTGACTGTTAATATTACACTATCTTATAATAGCACTCATACTGCTTTGGACTGACAGTTAACGTTTTATTACCATTTATGCCATGTCTCCCAAACCAGATTATAAACTCTTTGAGGGCAAGAATCTTGTCTTATATTTCTGTGTATTCCTACTGTGCCTAGCACAGGGATGGGGAACCTGTGGACTTCTAGGTCCTCAAGGGCGGCCTTTTGACTGAGTCTGTTTTACAGAGCAATCCCCTTTTATTAAGGGGATTTGTTCTGTGAAGTATGGATTCAGTCAAAGGGCCGCCCTTGAGGACCTAAAGGGCCACACGTGGCCTTGAGGCTGTAGGTTCCTCACCCCTGGCCTAGCATGAGGCCTCATACATAGAAGACACCTAATAAATATTGTTTAATTGGTTAGATGAGTAGAGTTAAAAGATGAAGAGCAAAAAAAAAAAAAAAGAAGAAGGAAAAAAAGATAGAAGAAGCCTGAGAAAAGTCCTCCTAGGCCAGGAATTTCCAATCAATAGCATTTCAATACCTACCATGTGCCTGGAGTGTTAGGCACTGGGTTCCCATCATTTTAGTTGGTAGGAGCTGCTTTTATTTGTTCAAAGCATGCAGATTGATGTGGTTGGGTAGGTGCTATTAGTGAAATACTGGAGCCAGAGACAAGAAGGCAGTTGGGCTGTCCATAAATTTCAAATCCTGAATGATGTGCCCATGTGCTTTGGTGATGGGGGCATAACAGCAGTTTCCACACTTTTTTGTTGATAGATTGATTTTTGGAAATACCCACAGACTGTTGAGTGGGAAGTAGTCAAATCTTTGCCACTTTGCAATAGACGAGGTCAGGTTTGGTTGAACATAGTTCATTCATTAATTAGAGACCCCTTTCCTAAGCAGTGAATATCGATTGGCTAAGATTTTATCTGAGGGAAGTGCAGCAAATTTTTGTTTGGGCATCAGATGGGGATTATTCTCTTCTATTCCTACCATTTCTATTCTTTTAAATTATTCACTCTTTTGTATATACTTATAGGTTGTTTATTTTACGGCTTCTGTCTAAAGATACTACAGCTAAAACCTGGGCTTCAGAGGTTAATATAGATGGTGAAAAGAGATTGAGTTGTTTTTTTTTTTAACTCTTTTATTGTTATATATAAACATCCTAGTTGGGGGGGGGGCCCTTATCTTTTGCTTTTAGATTTACAGCTTCTGTCTAGAATTGGTAGGGCTGATCTCTGGCCTTGTGGGGTTAGTTATGATTACTCCTCCTAGCAAACCACCATTTCTTGTTTGTTCAACCAACAAATATTCTACTATAGAACACTGTGTTAGGCATTAGGAATGATAAAAAGTTTAAATAAGGTACAAGTTCTGTTAATTGAAGCTTCTAGTTCTAAAAGATACAGTTTAATCCACACGTAGCTCAACTAAAAAACTGAGATTAATTTGAATCTATCTTATTGAAAGAAAACTATATTGAAAGCTCTCTTAGATGATAATTCAAAGTATATCCTTGCACAGCACTAGTTCTAAGAAGAGGGGAAAATGAGGTTAAAATTTTAATTTTAGAGCTTTTTTTCCTTCTGTCTGAAATAAGTCTTGCCTAGCACTCAATAATTTTATTAACTTGGATAATTTCATCTGAAACTGTGGAAGTAAGAAGTGTTATCTCTATTATGAAACATTATAGCTGAATTGAACTTTGAATATATTTCTATTTTTTGAACATTGATTTCTAACACTGCATATGTATATATTTATTTCAGATTTCAGAAGACATGAGAAAAAGACTGAATATACAAATGCATTCAGCTGTCCGAATATCACCAGTGGAATCAATCCCACAGATTCCAAAATCTATCAAATTACAACCTAGAGAAAATTTAGTGAGTGCAAATTCATGTTGCATTCAAATCCTTTTGCATGTATAGTCTAAGTAATGCTGTTGTTTCAGTTGGTATAACCCAGATGTAGTATTTCTTTATGTTGGCTGAATCAAGAAGTCCCAAGTTCCAAATCAAGAAGCTTGTCGTAAACCTCATAAGAGAGGTTTATTATGCAATGTGTGCTTGTACAGGTACTCAACAATTTTGACTTTTGAAAGTCTTGCTGAAATTCTTTCAATATCCATTTTACTCAGCCATTTACTTTTCTTCTTACAGTTAAGTAGTATAGCTCCCACATTCTGATTAATAATTATCAGAGTTAATACTTCCCTGGGATTAGGATTAGGGTTACCAATAGGTTACCAGTTTTGAAATAATTTGAAGATAATAACAGGAATTTATTTAGTAAAAATACTTATCATTTAATGGGCCTGTGAGCTCATCTTGTGTGTTAATCTTGGTATCAATTTAGAAAACAATCCATCCATACCTTCTCATCCTCTAGAATTTTTGTCCATGTCCTCCCATAAATCCCAGCTCGGTGAAGCACTTCATCCAGGTCTTTTTACATTTTATAGAACTCAGCCTATCAACCTGTTATCATTCATTCTTATTGAATGACCATCCCACCTCCTTTTCTAATCGTATTTTCCTAGTTGATATCTGAACACAATTTCATCTTTCATGATTCAGAAGGTATGTCCAGATATGTTGGAAAAATCAATGGTCTTGAAATTAGAAGACCTGGGTTTAAGTCCTGGTTCTGTGAGCAAATCACTAACCTTCTCTGAGCCTTCATTTTCTCATCAGTAAGACAGGAATGACCACACTTGTGTAACTTATCTCACATGGTTGTTATGAAGAAAATGTATCTTAAGTCTTGAAATGCTATAGTTATTGTTATATTATTATCATTCAGGTTGATGATAATGAGTATCATTATAGATATAATCATGGAAATGCCTGATAAAGTCAGATTGATAGCCTAGAGTCGATAAACCTATTTTTATTATAGCCTAGTGGGAAGAGAACAAAGTACTAGACTTAGTTTCATATCCATAGTAATGTATTAAATTTCTAAAATTTTACATATGGTTTTAAACTATTTACATTTTTTGTTTTAAATAAGTTTCTATTTGTGTCTTTTTTTCATATCACCAGAATTTCTCTCAGTTTTCCTTCCTGTCTCCAAGAGCCATTCCATATAATAAATAACATTTTTAAAGACAAAAAGGGGGGGGGCGTGGAAATAATCATAACTGATCAATACATGAATAAACTCTGAAAACATGTCCAGTGTATAACACTTGTGGACCTCCCACCTCTACAAAGGGGTGGAGTGGGAAGATCTTCTTATATCTATCTCTTCTTTACAGCTCTATAACATTTTTTTGTTTGTGGCTCCTTCCATTCTCTTATTGTAGTCATTGTGTATGTTGTTTTCTTGGCTCTGCTTACTTAACTCTGCATCAGTTCGTGTAAGTCTTCCCATGCTTCTTCTAATTCACCATGCTTGTTTCTTACAGCATGGTAATATTCCATTCCATTCACATGCCACAACTTGTTTCAGCATTTCCCAGTCACTGGGCATCTCCTTTGTTTCCAGTTCTTTGCTAAAAGTGCCATTAAAAATATTTTGACGTTTATAGAGACTTTCGAATTATTAAAGATCTTTTGGGATATAAGCTTAGTAATGGAATCTATGGGTCAAAGGGTATAGGTATTTTAATCACTCTATCTACTTAATTCCAAATTGCTTGCCATGTGATTTATATATTTGAATATTTTTAGTTGTTGAAATTTAGTGTTTTTCACAGAAATGCTGCTCTCTAGGCCGAGTGAGTACCTTGTATGGAAGAATCATTAGCAGTTAGTTACAGAATATGGATTTTCACTGATTTTAGTCTCAGAAATGAGTTGTTACGTAAAAATTTTTTCCTATATGGTTAAGGGGGGTGGACTTTGGCATTTAAAACCCTTCGCACCTGACTTGACCAGACCTTTTCTGGGTTTATCATATATTTCTCCCCCTTACACAAGACAATCTGTCTTCCACCTCTTTACCTTTAGATCCCTTCCATTTCTAGCATTCTTTGATATCAAACCCTTGTGCTTGATGGTATCAAGCTTTTTCATGACTCTCTTGAGACTTCTCTAAGTTCCCACAACTAACTCTGTTACACATCCAGAAAAAAGCAGGAGATGCAGGGAATTTATTTCCTTTAAAATAATATTTTTTCTTTGTTTTACTTATTTAAATAATAATGTCTCACTTTTTCTTTATAATCCATAATAATTAGCCTGAGGTTAGATTGAAAAGAGAAGAAGAGATGATAGAAACAAAGGAGGCCAAAAATAAATCTGATTTGCAGGGATAGTTGAAATGATGGGTGACAAGAAGAGAGGGAGGTGACAAAGAAGAAAGGAGTGTTGAGAGTGGAAAGACACTGAAAATACTAATATCTAAGATCTTTATTCACCCACATAGCAAACATTAACATGGAAGCTTATTTATCCTCAGATTTCTTCTTCTTTCTTAGCCCAGAGGACTGTTGTACTACTTTTTCTTTCTATGGAAACAGGCTAGCAAAAAATTACCTTTAAGAGTTATGATATGAAAGCTTTTTCAATTGTATGTCAATTAAATGTACTATCATCTTCCACAATTTTTAAATAATTGTACTAATTAAGCACAGGGCCTGCTTCTGTTAATTCTTCAGGCTTTGAGTTTTGAGTGTTTTTTTTGAATCTCTGACGATAGCACTTATTTGTACCTTCTGAGCATCTTATAAGCTATAAATATTACCAACAAGATAAAGAAACAGTTGTCAAGATAATTCTTTGTTTTTCTTTCCTTTTTATGGTTAGCATAAAGACATAAGTGAAGAAGAAATCAAATCTGCTTTCGGTTTATGGCTACAGAATTCTAGTACAGTAACTTGTCCCTGGATACTGTCAGCTGAAGAATACATTAATTTGACATTTAAAGATGGTAGGTAATCTTTGTTAATTTGGATTTCCCTTCCTTAAACATGAATAAAAAACTCTCTTTTTTAAGTTACAGCACTGTAACAAAATAATTTAAAATGAGATTTTTTTTTAAAAGAAACTACATACCTGGTGCAACACTCAGTTTAATGTTTCTTTTTAAATTCTGGATTATCTAATTTTGATTTAAATATTAATTATTACAGTAATGTCAGTATTATTATCTTTTCAATAGGGCTGAAGAAGTTTTCTTTGAATATTGTTCATCCTTTGGAAACAGAAAAAAATAATTCAGAAAATGTTTTTATGTTGAGTACCAGCTTGCTCCAGAAGATTGATGTACAAGTAAATATTTTGTAATTCTGCATATTTAATAAAATAATGATTTCTTATTTTATGTTAAAAAACGTATATAAATGAGTATCCTGTAGAAGACATTCTCACCCCATTGATCATATTTATAGACCCAAATGTCTGGATTACAGAAAAACTTGATTTAACATTTCTATAATATCTTTATAAAAGTTTGTAACTATACTTGTTAGATTTACACTGAATGCTTTTATTAGCAAATAAAATCATCGTTTGCAAAATCTTTAAGAATTTCTAAAAAGTAAATATTTTAAAGAAATTAATTATAAAATTGTTGCTGATCTTAGTTCTTCAATGTATAAAAATGAACTATCAGCACTGCCAGTTATGGGAGAAAAAGGGTTGAGATGTGTTGCTGTCTGGGTAGGCTGTGATTTCTTTGACTTTCATCAGTAGGGCAGAGATGACTTTCTGAACAGATCACTGCCTGCTCCCTGTTTTTCTGGTCAAATTGATGTGTCCCTCACATTCTTCGCAGTCTGTTTCTTCTTTCCTCATATTTGATCGAACATCACAATTAAAATGAAAACCAAGTTGTTATTTTAAACTTTTCCTAAGTTCTAATACCATGGAGATAGAGTGGTTTAGCAGGTAGAGCAGAGTGTAAAATTACGTTTTATAAGGTTATTATCCAAATGCCAAATTACTGAAGTGTTTTAATTATGTAAATATGCCTGGTTAGATGAGGAAATAAAGTGATTACAGAAGTAAAAAAAAGATTTAACGTGTTACTTATACTACAAATATTAGTCTCCTAAAAGTACATATTATTGTATTTGAGGGAAACTTTGCTTTTTGTTTCCTAAATAAAACTGCTTCTTTATCATACTTCTCTCAAAATTAAAGGTACTTTTCTTTGTTGTGGTAGATCCTTCTATATCCTGTGGCACAAGAGGAAAGCTTTGAGGAAACCAGCTTTACTCCTTTTTTAAAACTGAGCACCTTAGGGTAAGAAGTGTGGGCCAAGCAAAATTTGTTTTAAAGTATTCTATCTCTATGCTAGGGTCTTTATGTACAGACATTACAACATGGATGCCAGTAACTACTAAGTCCCCATTCATGAATTCCCTAATGATTCCAGTGATTGTGTGTGTCCGTTCAGGCGCTATTTGGCTCAGCAGTTCATGTGGCTCTCATACACCTCAAAGTATGTAGCTTGTTAACCACTTTACATTGCAAATCTGCTTGTGAGAAGAGGAAAGAAGCCAGATGTGAACCTGATTGTTTGTGATTATAGCAACTATAATTTGTAATTCTTTGTATAAATTATTGTATATTTATATTTGTAAAATTTCATTGAAGAAACATTTTTAATATTTAAATTATGTTATTCCCTCATTTTCTTATAAGTGTAGTAGGTAAGATTGAGTGTGCTCTCCACAGCTCTTAAGGAAGATGAAGGTGACGAGATCATTAGCAGGCAGGATTTTTTAGCTAGGTTTTTGACAAATGGGTAATACCTGTAATTTCCTAAAGAACTCTAATTTGAACACAGTGGTACCCTGGAATAGAGTGCTGACTTTAGAATCAAAGACCTGTGTTCAAATCCTGCTTTAAATACTTACTGGGCCAGGGACCTTAGGGAAGTCAGTTAACTTTTCTCACATCAGCTTTCTCATCTGAAATAAGGATAATAATACCACCTACCTTTCAGAGTTGTTGTGAGGACCAAATGAGATAACGTGAGAAGCCCTTTACTAGCCTCCAAGCACTCTCTATGTGCTGTCACTAGCATTGGTGAAAAATCTAGGTTATAAAAGTAAGAACTTTCTGAGGGAGTGTAGTTTAAGTTGTCAATGTAGAATTCATTTGAGGCAATACCTAGGCGAATCTTTTAATTACTTATAACAATTAGATTTGCTAAGTAAACTGATATTGCAAACAAGATTTTAGAGGGCATCTTTTAAGAGAAAAACCTGTTTTAATCTTACCCGAACCCTTATAAAGTACATATTTATAACTGATATGCTAATTGCAGAAACAAAAAACAAAACCTTTAAAAAAATTAAAGCAAATCCCTTAATGATCTATACAAGGCCAAATTAACTTCATCCTGATTTTTGCATGGACATGAAAGTAATAACACTGAATTTCAAAAATCCATAATTCTGACTTTGCACTAAATCAGACTCTTTCCAATAATCAGAATTTTGAACGTTTTATTCTGTTGTTTTAAGATGCTCTAGCCTGATGTAGAAAGCTTAGGGATTTTTAGTAGCAATATTTTATCATTATGTTTCAGTGTTGAATTATCTGTTACTTTGTATGTTTTGCAGGGGGTTGAATAAACAAGGAATAGTTTCTCTGGAGCATGTCACCCATAGTCTCTTGGGACGACCTTTATCTCGCCAACTAACTTCCATTGTTGCAGGACTTCGGAATGGAGCTGTCCTTGTCACAGGAGTGAAGGTGGTACTTCCAGCTCCCGTGTGCTCCCCATATGCTTAGCTTAAGAATAGTATTCTTTTAGTGTTTGTATCTTTGGTTTTTGAGTACTATCTTAAAACAGAATTATATACAAAAAAAGATTGCAGCTTTAAGAATATTGATAACTTTTTCATTTATATAATAAGTAAACAGTTTGACCTTAATGGGTGCCTTATAGTTAGCCCTTAATGTTTTCGTTATATTTCTTCTGGATTTTCTATACAAATTTTCCATTGAGTTCTGGTCTTTTTGTTACAAATACCTGAAAGTCTTTCAGTTTGTCAGATGTCCATTTTTTTTTCATTCAGGATTATACTCAATTTTGCTGAATAAGTTATTCTTGGATGCAATCCCAACTCTTTTGCTATTTGAAATATACTGTTCCAAGACCTATGGTATTTAAAAAGCGCTGAAGGGGTCAAAAGTGGGAAAAGTTTAAGAAGCCCTGTTTTAGAGTAGAAGCCGCTAGGTCTTGTGAAATCCTGACTATTTCCACAGTATTTAAATTGTTTTTTTCTTGCTGCTTGCAATATTTTCTCCTTACCAGTAGAAGAGTGTTTCTAGTGGTACATCTTTACCATTCCACTATTATAAGGCGCAGAAGTAGTCTGTCTCATTCTGCTCAGATTACTTTTTTATGTTTTTTTCCTCCATTTGATTGGCATGGTTTTTTTCTTTCTGATTATCATTTTATTATTATTCTTCTGTCTTTGTTTTGCTTTTATCCACTTTGAGTTTCAAGATACATTCCCTAATAAACATTTATCGGGAGATTAGATTTCCATAAACTTCAGCTAATTTGTACTTGACCAAGATGCTGGAAATATAGGAGAAAGTTGTTCAACTAGTCAAAATGGCAACGAACAAATGAAAACCATTTACTGCAGAGACAAGCTAATCACTTGGAGCCTGTTGATTCTTGTTGTATTTCAAATTCTCATTTCAGAGCCTGAGCTGGGGAAGGAGGGATGCTTCCAGACAGTGGAAGCTGGCAGGACTGACAGACCCCAACTTAACATTGACCTACAGTGGCAGCATAGAACCACTCCCTGGGGGCCATCCCCCAGCATCCCTGCTGAGGGTAGCCCTGGGCAGGACACATTACTGGAATGGATTACTGTTCAGTGATGCTGCCCCAGAGGCACCAAGAAAATGCTAAATTATCTTCAGTGTTCCCTTCTCAAAAGAGTCTGTTGTCACTTTTTGTTTTAGGTCGCTGTCAGTTTCCTTTAACTCCCCCTCCCCATTTAACTATTCCTTGTAACAACAACAACAGAAATTTTAAGCAAAGGGAACCAACACAGCAGCTGCTTTTGACAGTTTCTGCTTCATTCTTCATCCCACTTTCTTCTCTACTGAAAGGAAAAAATGAAATTTCCTTGTCAACTCTAGAGGACCAAGATAATGTATTGCAATTCATCCTCATTTGAGACACTTGTCTCTTCAGTGGTCCAGATTGCAGCTCCTGATGTCCTCTCCTCTTGTGCTGTTTTGTTCCACCCTTCCCTCAGCCCCTCCTCACTGCAGGCCTTCTCTGCTCAGGTGACTTTCATTGCAGTTTAGTTTCCCTCATAGTGGATCAATTCACTGGTCACTGAAGAAAGATTTCACATTTAAATACCCCCAGTATTAAAATGATCTAAAGAGCCTGTGATCCTCAGCACCTGCTACTTATTTTGTTTTATTTCTTTCCAGCACCTAGCACAGTACCTTGCATGTAATAGGCTTAAAAAAATCCTTGTTGGATTAGATTTGCCGTTCTTCAGCCGGTTCAGAAGAGGTGGAAGCCATCCACCATGGGTGGAAAGCCTTTTTGTGTTTTTGTGGTTTTTCCCTTTCCACTTTGCTTGGTTTCTTCTTTGAGAAGGGTAGTTTGGTGCTAGATAAGGTGACAGGAGTACCTGAGCTTGAATCTTCTCTCTGACACCACATACTTGAACTTGAACAGATCCCTCTGGACTTGTCTTCTGTGAAAGGAGGGAGTCTGATGAGCTGCTCTCTGAGGGCTGTTCAGATTAGGGCTCCAGGTCTATGAGGCTCTGAACTTCTCAGAGCCTCAGAACTCTCCTAGGATGGCATTGTGGAGAAGTTACTCTCTGTAGAAGTGGAAGGACACCTCAGCCATATTGACATATGGGTCATTAGGACCAAATAATTCACTTCCCAGTGGCATTATTGTACTTAAATTGAGAAAAAAAAAATATGAAATGATAGATTTAAACCAGGGTTTGGCAAACTCTGGCCCACTGGGCAGTGGGCCAGAGTTGGCCCTTGGGCTACTGTTTGCTGGTCTCTAGTCTAAACTAGCACCAAATGGTTGAAGATATTAGGCTTTTATACTCTTTCACTATGAAAAATTACATTGCGTGGGATGCAGATCATGAATTCCTTGAAGGAAGGAGCATATTTTAATACTTTTGTGTATTTCACACAGTCTCTAACACAGGACAAGGCTATCAGGTACTTGATAACTGCTTATTGATTGTTGGATGAGTTTTGCATTTTACCAGCATTTTTTGTTATTGGATTTATTAGTTAATATGTTTTAGTTATTAGCAAAATTTTATTTTCTAGGGGAGTGGAAAGTCAACTTTAGCTAAGGCTATCTGCAAAGAAGCATTTGATAGACTGGATGCTCACATGGAAGTAATTGACTGTAAAGCCTTGAGAGGTAGGCATATGATAACCTTTTATATATATCAATTACTTTTTAGAAGACATAGAGAAAATGTGCTTTAATGTTAAATTCAACTCTTCTTTAACTTCTCAGTTTATCTTTTCCACGTTGAGTCCACTTAGTCCTTTTTTGTTTTTGTTTTGCTCTTTTTTCTTATTTGGAGAGTCAGTAGAAACTGTTGGCTTTACTCAAAGGTAAAGCTTCAGTTCTGTAGTAAAGGGAAAGGAGGAAGAAAAAGGAGTTTTCTTGGCTTGATGTTCTGGGCTGCTCTGAGTTGCTGGCTGGGAGTGTCACTCTTGTGATAGTGTGGGCTCTCTAGGAGCAGCAAGTAAACAAACTACCCGTGAGCTTTGTCTTTTGTGCTGAGCTCCTTCCTGGGTGTGTAGCCAGTGAGGCCCCATTTGTACGTGTCTGTGCTCTTTACCTACTTTTATGTGATTCTATATGTGTAGGCAACAAAGTTGAAATACGAATTATGTTATACTTGTTACTTGGAGGTTCATCAGACTTGTATGTTGACATAGTTGGGAATTTTGGTAACTATTTTAAGAGGTCAGGTTATACTTTGAACCAAAGGGAAATGTGAACAAAGCCTTCTGTAAACCTTAAAGTGATTGCTCTGTGTGGGCAGATAGTCCTGCAGCCGCAGGGCCAAGCTGGTTTGCTTTTACTTCTTTGTTATATCTAGAGTCTTGTTATCAAAATAGGCAAGATTCTATTTTAGGTCAGTAATTATAAGGATTCATTAGTAAATATTTCCTAGAACATTTATTCTCTAAGCTTTTCTATAGATAGCTTCTTTAACTTTTAATGACTTAATTTAGTTTTCTCACAAATGCAGATTTCTTTTAATGATGAATGGTTTATAGCTAAATTTAAGAATGAAGTATTTGAGGGACTCTTCTGTCAGCCAGTAAGGAAAAAATAAAGATTTGATTATTTTTAAAATGGTAGCTTCTTTATTGCCTTTGACTCATTTGGGATGAAAATAATAAGAAATTTTATTTTTAAGAGATTTTCATTTTTAAAAGAATTTCCCTAAAAAATTTGTCCACATGTACAATCTTTTGAATCAGCGCATTTTCCACATTTCTTAGGAATAAGAGGGCACTGCCCCTTTCCTTTAAAATTAGTCTAGTGAAGACAAGTCAGGGAAGACATCCAGGTAATTGCTGAATTTGTCAAGCTGGAGTTTATTCAGAGAATGTGTGTCCTCTGGACACAGATCCTTTTGAGTTTTAAGATTTAGTGATCTATTATTATAAGTATAGGCATTTTATTTTTGAAAGGCCGTATGATTCAATAGAAAGCAGACAGTTGGGAATCACTCCCATCTCTGCCATTGACTCAAAGTGTGCTGCTGTGCGTTTGATTTACCCTCTGGGCCTTATTTCTCCAGCTGAGAAATGGCAGGGGGGAGGGAGTGGGAAGTGGGATGGACAGGAAGGTAGTCTTAATTCAATCTTTTTCTGCAGGAACCTGCTGGCTCTGCTGAATGTGAATTAGACTTTCATTGAGAAAATTTTGTTGGTGGCAATATTTTTTTTCTAGAATATTAAGTTATATATCAAAATATTTGTTACATGGTACAATATTCTATATTACAATAGGTTTAATTTCCTCTATTTTGTTTCAAAATGTCCCCAACCCCCTTTTCTTCTGTAAATAGTCTATCCCTCAAACCAACTGTAAGTTCCATCAGTTTATTTCAAACCCTAAAATATTTCATGGTTAAATCAGTTTAGGAAGCTGTATCGAGTGATTTCTTACATCTCTTTAGATGCTAAAATGTTTCAATATTTTTCTTATCTTTTGGTACCTTTTCCATAGTCCTAAAAAATCCTGTGAACTTAAATGGTATGTTCTATTTTTCTGCTTTATAAATCTACACACCTGTTGATAAAGCTGCCTGTAGTCTTGGTAAACTATCCTGTTCACTGTTAACCATCCACCATCACAGTGAGCAAGTTTCTATAAGTTGGTGGGTCAGTCACATCTGAATCCTCAATTTAGATCATTGCATTCCAGCTAAACTTTCTTAGCAGTTGCTAAGACTGTCACACAGCAGTTGGTGGAAGAGTTTGCCTCACCTAGAGTTCCCTACATGCGTGAAATAGGTCCACATTAAACAGAAACCACTTCTGTGTGGCCTTTCAGTCTTTGCAGCCCTAAATCAGATTTGGAGCATTTCTTAATGTGTTTCAGGGAAAAGACCTGAGAACGTGCAGAAAGTCCTGGAGGCAGCTTTCTCAGAAGCCATATGGAGGCAGCCGTCTGTGGTTCTCCTGGATGACCTGGATCATATTGTCGGTGTATCCACCATGCCTGAGCAGGAGCATGGTCCTAATGCAGTTCAGAGTCAGCGGCTGGCATATGGTGAGGCAGCTAGAGGTTGCTTGGGGGCAATCTTCTCTTGCCGCAAAATTTCTTCTGTGGCTCTATTGCTGTCCAGGCCATTTTGCTGGGCAGCTTTGTAAAGGGGGATTTTCTGCAGCCTTGTGTGGTTTATGTAAATATTTCTAAGACATAGTAGATAAGAGTTTCAGACCAGGAGTCAGGTCCATATTCATATCCTGTCCCAGACCCTTTTTAGCTGTATTACCTCAGTCAAGTCCCTTAATCTCTCTAAGCCTCACTTTCCCCATCTGTAAAATGGGAACAGTACCCCTGAAAGTTGTTGAGGATCAAATGAGATAACATATGTATGTAAAGCACTTTGCAGTTATTATGATGATGTAGTCTCTGAGGTCTGAGTAACTAGGTCTGAGTAACTTTCTGCAGTTATCCCATATTGAAATTACACAGTAGGACAAGGACCAGAGGCTTCTTGGTTAGAGCCTTCTGTCCTCCCGGACTTTTGTGAAGGAGTTTCTTTCAGTGTTAAAATGGAAAATGATAGAGTATGCTAGTTCGTGGTCTGAGGTGTTAGTGACTTTTGTAATGCTCTCATTTTAAAACATCAGATAGGTTAAAGCCTTCTCTTCTAGTAGGTCTCTTGAAGGGGTTGTGAACCTTAATTCTGAGGCAAGCCTGTATACATAGTAAGTCAGTCTGCATTTATCAGTGTTGTCGCCCACTTCGGCTGCAGACTCATCAAGGCCAGTCACCTCTAGAAGTTGTCGGCCAAAGTTTTACTTATTCAGTAAAAGAGAAATTATTAGTGACCCCAAAATATTTTTATATAGTATCTACTTCACTCTTGAAATTTGCAAAATGTTGTGATAGAGAATATCACCAGACACATGGAGTGAGAAATACACACTATTCATTTCTGCACAGTCTCCCATACTCTGTTAGATATTTTTTAATAGTTGTGAAGTTATTTTCCAGAAAGCCATGAGAGATTATCTGTGGACCATTATAATTTTAAAAGCATATGGAGTGCATTTGACCTAAGAGATTTTTTTGTTGCTGTTAAGCTTTTTATGCTAATAGAGAAATGTTGCTCATGTTTAGCTTTGAGAGACATGATCAAGGAGATTATGGCCATGGGGAGTTTGATTGCTGTGATTGCCACAAGCCAGACTCAGCACTCTCTGCACCCTTTACTTGTTTCTGCACAAGGAATCCACGTATTTCAGAGCTTCCAGCCCATAAATGTTCCAGATCAGGTAACAGTGCTTGGGAAAGAAGTGGTTAAACTCTTTGTGGCTGTCTCTGGGTAGAAAGAACAATAAAGCCTCGTATTGTGGTTTAGAAGGCAAGTTGAAAAATGAGTCGTGTAATTTCAGGCTTTAATATACCTGTGACTGAGAACATCTTCCAAAATCAACATCTTTTTGAATACTTCCCTACTTTGTACAAAAGGGATTTGGGAGCAGGCCCAGTGAGCTCTCCTGATTGTTAGGGCAGTGTTTTTCCTACTCTCCCACATAGGCTCCCTGCCTTTAATTGAGATTTCGTGAAGTGTCCCAAGATAGTCCTGTGGAAAATTCTGTTGATTTCTAGGTAATAGCATATGAAATCGGTCTCATAGAAACTCCTTTGCACATGGGATTAGAAGGTAGGGAAGTCCACAGGCTAATAAAGGGCAATTGTATTTGGATTTACAACAAGCCAAATCCAGCATAAGGAAGAAATGTATTTAGAAAAATCCAACGTGCCAGTTGTCTGTATGATTGCCAGGGGAACTGCGTATCATAAATAGAGAATATTCCTTTTCAGGGTGGGGAGTTGGAGGTGGGGGTGGGGTAGAGCAGCTGGGTGAAAAACAGCAATGTAGATGGTTTTCTTTTTAAAGTTTATTAGCCTAAAATTTTTTTATCAGCCTGTATTGCCTACTCCACTTCAGAATCATCACAGTGAAGCATAAGATAAATGTTCCTGTACCTTCAACTGGATTTTAAATTTTATTTACATTTTTGTTATTATCTTGATTTTCCCTAGACTTGGCCTGTTTTCTTTTAAGCCTTGAATCTGTGCTCATACAAATTAGTCTATAAAACATTGGTATGTTTTAGTAATACAAATCAGCACAGACTAAAACATAGAGTACTAAGTAACCTTGATTGAAAATACAAAATTTTGCTTTTGCTCCTGTATACTCAACTTGTAATAATCAGTATATTAATTTATTCATGTATTTTTTGGAATATTTCAAGACCCAGAAAAGAAGTGTATTGCATTCATATTTCCACTTGATTTATTAAGACAGTTTTTTTAAATGAGTACAAATAATTGTTAGCTTTATCACACTGAATTTTCTCAAAAATTATGTGCAAAAAATTTAGATGTGATTAGAATTATGAATTCTAATTATGTTTCCCCTGCCTCCCAGGAACAAAGACAGGAAATTCTGCATTGTGTAATAAAAAATAAACTTAACTGTGATGTAGATAAATTCACTGATCTTGACCTGCGTTGTATTGCAAAAGAAACTGAAGGTTTTGTAGCTAGAGATTTCACAATGCTTGTGGATCGAGCTGTCCATGCCTGTATCTCCAGCCGGAACGTGTGCACAAAGGAGGGTATGTTTTACTGGCAAAATCTATAGTTGAGGACTGTGTTTTCCTTCATATAGAAATGCAATTGCAGTTAGCCCAAATTGAGATTTAATTGTTTTTCATTTTATTTGTTAAGGAGACATTTGATTAGATAGCACTGTGAACTAAGACAAGTGAAGTATATTGAAAATTCATTTTGTTCAACATCAGATGCCTAGAAAATTCATTTTGTTGAATATCAAAGTGCCAGAACTATTTTATTTGTTATTTTTAAAACAGGATTACTTCTAAAAACATTAGACTTTCAAAAAGGTCTCAAAGGCTTCACTCCAATATCTCTGCGAAATGTAAACCTGCATAAACCTAAAGATGTAGGCTGGGACAAGATTGGTGGCTTACATGAAGTTCGGCAGATTCTCATGGATACCATCCAGTTACCAGCCAAGGTATTTTTTGGGGGGAGGGGGGGCTAGGCAGTGGGGTTAAGTGACTTGTCCAGGGTCCCACAGCTAGTAAGTTTCAAGTGTCTAAGGCCAGATTTGAACTCAGGTCCTCCTGATTCCAGGGCTGGTGCTCTATCCACTGCGCCACCTAGCTGCCCTTAAGGTTTTTTTTTTTTAATTGGAAGAAGTAACTTCCAAAAGAGCTGCAAAGTACTGATTTTAACTTTGCTTCTAGGAGCTTGAGCGAACTACTATTACAGAAGGCGGCTTCTTGTAGGCAAACATCCTCCATTTCAATTCTATTCAGCAGATAAAGTCAGCACTCAGACTTGTACAAGGCAGGAGAGCATAGACTGAGAGCTGGGAAGGTGTTTGAGTTTGATGGCGATTCAACACATCAAGCCAGATTTAGAATTTAGAACTGATACCAGCCAGAATAGGTAGAAAGTTTGGTTGAGGCAGGTTTGTGCAGTTCAGCTGTTCGAAACTCATACAGCAGAATCTAGGAAAGTCACTGGGTTGAGGTGGTGAGCAGAGGCACTCAGGACCGAAGGAGCAAAGACCAAGCATCTGAAGGGAGGGGCCAGAACCTGGGGAAGAAGGGGCTTGGCACAGGAGACAGCCAGCTACCGTGATGGCAGATTGAGTCAACAACCATTTCTTCAGACTTAATTATGACTGTGTGTCAGGCCCTGTGCCAAGCACCAACTAAAGGGATCGTCAGCAGGGCTCAGAACTCAGACATTGTACCTGGGCAACAAGGATCAGAACTCAGATGCCAGAAGACTGTGATAGTCATGGAGAGAGGAGGAGGAGGAGAAGGAGAAGGATAGCTCACATTTATAAAGTACCTGTTATGTCCCAGGCACTGTGCTGAGCATTTCACAAATATTATCCCGTTGGATCTTCACAACAACCCTGGAAGGCAGGTGCTATTATCCCCATTTTATAGATGAGGAAACTGAGGCACATAGAGGCTAAATGACTTGTCCAGGGTCATACAGCTAGTAAATATCTGAGGTCAAATTTGAACTCAGGTCTTTCAGGCTCCAGGCCGAGCTCTGATCACTGCACCACCAGCTGCCAGGGCTGAGTTGATATTGAGTTGATATCTTTTGGGATGTGACAAAATCAAAACCAGTGAACACGGTGAGAGGAAGTAATATTCATGAACATTCATTTACTAAGTACTTGTTATGTAGAAGGTACTGTATTTGGCATTGAGGGACGTAAAAATAACTGTACTAAGATAACAGTCTTGCCCTTAGAATCTTTACAGTCTAGCAGATGTCATAGAGTGATTTTTTTTCTTAATGCTGTGCTTTATTTTCAAGTATGCCATATATAACCTGAGAAGAAAAGGAAGCGGGTAAGATGGAAGATATTAACTGAACTGTTCTAATTCTTGTGCAGCAAATATTGTTAGCTAATATATTTTTCCTATATTTTTACATGTAGAAAATATTTTATTATTTGTCAGTTTCATTAAGCACTTTAGCCTTGTAAGCACCTTACTGTTGCTGGGCTTTTTGCATTCAAACAAGTGGTACCACTTGTGTGATTTGACAGTGGCACAGTTTGGACTGATTCTGAAGAATTTTTTTCTTTAAATGCATTTTAACTGCTGATTGGTCACTTCAGTTTTAGAATTCAGCTCTTTGTCATATTTTTCAGTACCCGGATTTATTTTCAAACTTGCCTATCCGACAGAGGACAGGAATACTGTTGTATGGTCCTCCTGGAACAGGAAAAACATTAATAGCGGGAGTGATTGCACGAGAGAGTGGGATGAATTTTATCAGTATCAAGGTATGCTGAACATTGTACAGGGTAAGCATTATGTGGGAAATGGGGAGTCAGCCTTACTATTTAGAAGGCTCTATCTATAATGATATTCTACTGTGAGAGATCAAATTATTATCTCACTTTTTATACCCTTTGGCTGCTTGAATGGAAAATCAGATAATATATGTGTCTGTATGCAGACCTATATGTATATATATGTGTACATAAGTGTATATGTGTACTGACGTAGCTCTTTTACTTAGGTTCTGAGATAATTGGCCTGTAATACATGCTTACACAAGACTGATTAATACCAGAAAGATAATATATGTATTTATCTTTGGGAATATGCCTGCTAAGCCAATGAGCATCCCCCTTCCTGGAGTGTCCTGGCAAATTCCTCTTCTCTTACTTTTCTCTTTCCAGAATCCTCAGTTACCAGTTTTCTTATTTGCACTTGTCATTACAACAAAGTTTCAGCACATTTTCTTTGGCGTGTTACCCTTTCCAGGTTTACCTTTTGTTGTATATCAACTGCATTTTGATTTTGCTTCTTCCTTTATGGGGAAGAACCTTTAATCTCACTGACCAGAGTCTACAAATTGCGTTGTAAGATGGATTATTAATAGGAAGGTTACATGAAAATAGTTAATCTAATTTCTATAATGAAAATCTATAGCTTCTGTCAAAAAGAGATACATCCCTTCTCGTGTTCTAGGCCTTAATTGTAAGCTTTTTAGCCCTTTGTCCATAGACTACTTTGAGAGTATTTTATACAGGGTGGCCCAAAGTCATAAGCTAGTTTTAAGCTGGTTAGTGCAGAGAGAGAGAGAATGTGTGTGTGTGTGTGTGTGTGTGTGTGTGTTGTGTGTGTGTGTGTGTTTACATATAAGTGACATGTTACATTAATAATGTCCAGAATAACCAGAATTTGGAGGAGTTATATATTCTAAGTTTTACATATTTGTCTTGAATAATGACTGGTGTTTTGTAAGAATTCAATTTATTTTTCATCATTGATCTTTTTTTTCTGATTCATATTAAAGAAGTATAATTTTTAATAGCAATAGTCCTAGTTTTGAAAAGTAAACATCGATTTACCAAATGGAGCATTTGTTTTACTTTTAAATTTAAACTGTTTAAACTGTTGAATTTAAAAGTTTGCTTTTAGAGAAAAGTATCCTTTATCTTCCTTTTCCTTTTAAAAACTTACATACATTTGTATCAGTAAATGAAGATGCTAGCCAAAGAGTTCCACGTCTCTTCGCACTAATTGGAGTCTCCTGAGTTTTCTAATAGGGTGAGTCTCTTTAGCAACAGAAGCTGAGATGTAGCGCCTCTGCCAGCAGGCTGGAGGATGTCATCACTTTTGGTATTCCTTCTACCAGGGCAAATCATAGCCCCACCATCCTGGAATGGACACCGTTATAAGATGCTGTGGCCAACAGTAGTCATCAGCTGGTAATCGACCTGCTCCAAACTTAGCTAAGTTTATCTTCAGACAGCAGACACGTGACCTGGACGGGGCCCATGTTTGGCTTGAGCTGCCAGGGCTTGTGCACTACTGGTACAGTCTTCAGGCCTTGGGTTACCTCCATACCAGGACAGAGCACCAAAGGACATCACTTCAGTGAAGCAAAAAAATTATCATCTTCCAAGTATTTATCTTTTAAGTATGAATATGCTGGTAAAAGAACATAATCATTAATTTAATTATGGGAGAAACCAGCTAATTGTTCTTATTTTTTGAATTTCCCGTCACCTCATGTTGGATTTTTAAATATGTGATGGTTCTCTTAAGAATGCCTTTTGATAACCAGAAATAGATTCCATATGGAAGTGATAACTTTGTTTTGAATGCTAATAGAATCATATTCTCCCTGATAGGGGCCAGAACTACTCAGTAAATATATTGGAGCAAGTGAACAAGCTGTTCGAGATATTTTTATCAGGTTGGTTCTCCACATATTTGTTCTATTTTAAGTTAAGAAATATGTACCAATATTTCATTATTAGAAATTTTTTGATAACTTATTCTTTATAGAGTTTGTGTTTATAACCTGTGTTTTATTAACTAACTTGGATGTCAAAGATTCTTGTATTCAATTGGATGTTATTTGTAAATTGACATTTTTTATTGGGATTTATATTTAAGCACAGATAGACTAATATTCTTCCTTTACCATGTACTAAATTTTTGTTTGTATTGTAGAGCAAGCTACAAAACCTTAGAGTTTCCATAAGTAAAATGAAAAAAGTTAAACTTCTGAAGATCAGTATTTGCAAATGTTTTGCCTACCATGGTAACCTTATGGTACTAGGATTCATGAATTAATTTGTATTACACTTTTAGTTTATTTTTATTAATATCTTTTGTTTTTATGCTGCCTGAATTTACCCCTGGATCTTCCCTTTTCTATTCCCATAGAGCTATTAAAAATGAAAAAGAGAAAAACATTCAGTAAAACTAATCAGTGAAAAAAAATCTGACATTGTCTGCATTATTCCATACCTGTGGAGCCCACCCCCTGGCCCCCAAAAAATTCCATGCAAAGGAGTTAGAGGAGGTGTCTCCTCCTTATCTTTTCTTTGGGGCCAAGCTTGTTCTTTGTAACCTTGCAGCACTCATCTTTATCATTCTGCGATTGTTCTTTGCGCTGACATTGTTGCACTGTTTTCCCGGCTCGGCTTACTTCACTTTGCATCCATTTGTGTAAGTCTTCCCATGCTTCTCTGAATCATCCTGGTCATCATTTCTTACAGCACAGTCATATTCCATCGCATTCATGTACCACAGTTTGTTTAGCCATTCCTTGATCAATAGGCATCAGCTTTATTTCCATTTCTTATCTACCACAAAAAGTACTTTTACTTTCTCAAAACTGATGATGATCATAACTGTGTGTTTCTTCCAGGGCACAGGCCGCCAAGCCTTGCATTCTTTTCTTTGATGAATTTGAATCCATTGCTCCTCGACGAGGTCACGATAATACAGGCGTCACTGACCGCGTTGTTAACCAGTTACTAACTCAGTTAGATGGAGTCGAAGGCTTAGAGGGTAACCGTTGTCAGTGCTCAAATTTCTTTTTTTCACATGCAAGAAAGTTACCAGATCGTAATGAGAATTTTTTTCTTTTCTTCCTTCAGGTGTTTATGTATTGGCTGCTACTAGTCGCCCTGATTTGATTGACCCTGCCCTGCTAAGGCCTGGTCGACTAGACAAATGTGTATACTGTCCTCCCCCTGACGAGGTAATAATCTCTTACTTATGGTCCCACACCAGCAATCTATAGTGTTCCCTTGTGAGTTTTATTTCCATCAGATAACAACAGTAGTCTTGCAGTTGGTTAAGAGGACTATTTTTCTTACTATCAGCCCTAGACCTTAGAAGGCAACTAAGAACTTAAGAGGCAACTAAATGTCTAAGGCAGCTTAGAACTCTACTCCAAGAGGCAGCCAGTCACTTCATGGTTAGAGTGCTGGGCCTGGAGTTAGGAAGACCCGAGTTCAAATACAGCCTTGGACACTTCCTCACTGTGTAACCCTCGGCAAGTCACTTCACTGCTGACCGCCAGACAGAATGGATCCACTGGAGGAGGAAATGGCTAACACTCCAGTGTCTTGGCCAAGAAAACTCCAGATGGGGTCATGAAGGGTCAGACACGACTGAACAACAAGAATTCCTTAGAACTTTTGTGCTCCTGTTTTACTCACAGAGTAAGAGTATTTTTCTCCCCTTTGTCTAGGCAGTGAGGTTAAGTGACTTGCCCAGGGTCACACAGCTAGTAAGTGTCAAGTATCTAAGGCTGGATTTGAACTCAGGTCCTCCTGACTCCAGGGCTGGTGTTCTATCCACTGCGCCATCTAGCTGTCCTAAAAGTAAAAGTATTCTGAAGAAGATGTGAAGTCTCTACCCCACCATTTCCTCCAGAAGCTAAAAACCCTGGAATTGTTGGCCAGTTAGAATTAATATGTGTAGATTCCAGAGTAGGTTTTTACTCCTAGATTCAGATTCTTTTATCCATGTGCCATCCTAAGAGTTCACATTCTTAATTAACTAGTGTTGTTGTGTCATTTTCAGTTGTGTCCGAATCTTCATGATTCCATTTGGGGTTTTCTTGGCAAAGATACTGGTGTGGGTTGCCATTTCCTTCTCCAACTCATTTTACATATGAGGAAACTGAGGCAAACAGGGTTAACTGACTTGGTCACCCATCTAGCCAGTGTCTGAAGCTGGATTTGGACTCGGGTCCTCCTGACTTCAGGCCTGGCACCCTATCCACCACATCATCTAGCTGCCCTAATTGACAGGTACCAAATTAAAAGACCTTGGACCTTTTAAGAAAGACCATATAGCTCTTGTAGCATTTTAAAACTAAAGATTATAAAGATATGAACAAATTACTCAGTTCATTTTTGGTTAGTTCATGTTGGTGTGGCTTGTATGATATTCGATGTCCTTTTGAATCACTCTTGGTAAACATAGGACTATAAATTTGACATTTGCCCAATTCCTCAAGAAAAGAAATTTATGCATGAGAAGCACTTATGATTTTCATTCATTTTCCTATCTATACCTTTCCTTTACATTTTGAGAAAGGTTAGCAAGGGAAGTAGACTTTATAGAAAGTAATTTTTTTAATAAAACTTTCTGACAGTTCTTAAAAATGAATTTAAAAAAGGAAGTTCACATTTTAAGATTTGCACTCTCAATGAGGAATCTAGGCTCCTGTAAATATCCCCAGCTGTCCAGATCACTACCCAGTGCACTGGAAGACTCCCTCTAGGCCATAAATGTTCAGTTCAGCACTTGTCCCACCTCCTTTTCCAATTATCCTTTTTTGGGTGATCTCTTCTATGCCACTTCTTACACATCATTATTCCTAGGAGCCTAGATTTCGATCTGGAAGGGCCTTAGAGGGAATCAGGTGTAGCCTTCTCATGTTATAGATGAGGAAACTGAGGCCGAGAGGTTAAGTCACTTGTCAAGGACACACAGAAAGTAGCAGAGCTGTGATTCAAACCCAGGACCTCTTATTCACAAACCAATACTCTTTCAGTTGTGCTATGCTGTTTCCCAGGATGTCACAACATTTATTTAATACCCACCATGTGTCTTTCTTAAGCTCTTTGGGTCACCTACAGTTTGAATTCTTGGGACATTGGGGTGTACTATAATTTGTAACTAGATAGTGTCAAGAAAAATAGGAAGTGGATAAAGAAAAATATGCTTAGGACAATAGTTAATTTTCTCTTTTCTCATATTACCTTATATTTTTCCCTTCAGATATCTCGTCTTGAAATTTTAAAAGTCCTTAGTGGTTCTCTGCCTCTGACAGATGATGTAGACCTTGAGCATTTAGCATCAGTGACTGGCTCCTTTACAGGCGCGGATCTGAAAGCTCTGCTCTACAATGCTCAACTTGAAGCCATCCATAGCAGGCGGGTGGCAGGCTTGTCACAAGTAAGGTTGCTGGAGAGACATAGCTAGCACGGCGTTTTATATCGACAGTTATTTTTATAGTTATTGTGACATGATTTTAATTATTGAAAGGATAACCTTCATTAACTGTAATAAAACTGCATAAGTAATTTATGGGAGAATGTCCTATTTGGGAAAATTTCTGCATAAAACAATCTTATTCTTGTGAACTTAAGTTCATTTTTTTTTCATGCTGTAATTTCAGCCATCTTTCCCATTCTCAAGAAGCTCCGATGGCTCCCCATGGCTGTTAGCATAAAATACAAATTCTTCTATTTGACATTAAAAGCCCTTCATAGTCTAGTTTTTTCCAGGATGATTTCCCAGCATATCCTTACATTTCCCCCCCACACGTGACACTCCCTTTCGCACCTCGGTGCCGTCCTTTGAATGCTGTGCCAAGGCTCCCTCTAAGGCTTAAACTGAAGTGCTGTTACCATCAAGAGCATTTTCTTGATAGCCCCAGATGTGATTTCTCCTACCCACCCTACAAAGTGCAGTTCAACTTTTCTCGTATGTATCAGAACACTCGTGTTGTATCCCCAATAGCATTTAAGCTCGTTAAGGATAGGACTGGTGTCGCCCTTTTGTGTTCATAGCTTCACTCAGTGTCTGAGCCATGTTGGGCCCTTAATAAATTGGTTTATAAATAATAGATTGGTGAATAAATTGGTTTGTTAACACATAGTGGAAGCCCCCACACCTGTCCCCACAGAAGTCCCAGGTGTGCAGTTTTCATTCCATTATAACAAAAAAGTAGAATAATTAACTGAGCCATTAAACATTAAAAATCAAGATAACTGCCTACAAGCTTTACCACGTGCTTGTTGGGGAGATGGTTAAGTCTCTTAAGTATGTAGTCTGTCTTTTTATTTCCCCATGCCCCAAATGTATTAGAGAATCAGGGGGAAAATAATATGAAAGCATATGAAATGCCTTGATTTTTTTGAATTTTAATTGTTCTATCATAATATCTACACTGGTGGTTATTTTACAAATGAGGATTATTTAAATCGTTACCAGGCTTTCTTGTTTTGTGCATTTTTAGGATGTTGGTTCCAGTTCTGACAGTGACCTCAGTCTGTCTTCAATGGTTCTCCTTAATCACAGCAGTGGCTCTGACGATTCAGCTGGAGATGGAGAGTGTGGCCTAGAACAGTCTCTCGTTTCCCTCGAGATGTCTGATCTGCTTCCCGAAGAATCGAAATTCAACATGTATCGGCTGTACTTTGGAAGCTCTTATGAATCAGAGCTAGGAAATGGAACTTCTTCTGAACTGGTACCTCGTGGAGCCATCCTTTTTCCTAAAAGTGCAGGTTTAAATGTGGCCTCCCCCATAACTGAACTCACAGACTTCTCCAAGTACTAGATGCTTCCAGAATATGAGGCCACAGTCTGTGAGAAGTTGGCTTATTGATCTCTTCTCACTGACCCACTCCTCTGTGGAGGAGGGCTGCCTTCACCCCCGCATAGCTAGTCATGCGCTTGGGTGATTGGGTTTGGATTCATTGATTGATTTTGTGCTAGTTAGTCATTTTCACTTCTTGTGAAGACAAGCCTTCTCTGGATAAGAGTCAAGCTACTAGGTGGACAGTGTTTAAGCTGTGGTTTCCTACATATTTATTTCCTTAGGTAACTAGGAATGGTCATGGAACACTAACTTAGACTTTGTCTAAATAACATCAACATTTGCAAATCATTCTTCATTTAGTCCCCTGAGGGTTTGCTTAAAAAAACAGAGTAGAATCAGTGTTGTTATCTACGGCCTTGTTCTCTTTGAACTTTGGATCTAAGACAGTTTTTTGTAAAAATAGATACAAAGATAACTAAGTGAAAGGCAAATAATCTCTTCTGGGGATTCTTCAGAATGATATGAACAATGTAAAAAGTTAGATTTAAAGTAAAAATGAAGTCCCTTGTCCATTGAGCAGCCAGAGATATACAAAAGCAAGAATAAGAGGGACAAGTAAATTGATGCACCTCTTTTTGTAAAGCATCAAGTGATTAGAAAGGAAAAATTCTGTTTGATTAATTGGCATTCCTTGTGATATGAATCTTAAATAAGAGGCCAATTTAATTGGGTCCTTAAGACTCAATTATTTTGACTTTTTTATGTCTCAATTTTTTGTGTGTGTGTATGGTCTAAACACACTCTATTGTATTGATTTGTACTTTATTTCTCCTCAACTTTTTAAAAAATTTTCCTGAAAAATAATTTCCTTAAATACTGATTGTTAGCTTAACATCTTTTTTAGTGTAGAATCATTGAACAACTCAGGATAATGTCAGAAAGTTCTACCTTTCTATAATATTTTTAGGCCAAGTATCAGAAGGAAGGATAAAGTACCCTTTTTTCTACTAAAAAGAATGAAAATGATTTTAGATTAAATGTTAAGAAAACATGTTTTTTAAATTCAATTAGAACAGCACTGACTTAGCACTTCCCCCAGAGAGAAGTCAGTTGGACACAATTTCTTGGCAGATAATGGTACTCAAAACATTTTGTACTGCCAGTAACATTTTACGTGAGAATGTAAACCTTGAAAATGTGACCTGTTTTTATTACCAGTAAGATTAGAAGCATTGAATTGAAGCATTGTCATTCTTCTGGGGTTTTTTTGTTGTTTGTTTGTTTTGTTTACTCTATAGGACTATACATGAACTTTACCATAGCTATTCTCTGTAAAGTTTAAACTTGGGTAATGTGGGTCTATTTGTACTCTAATATAACCCAGGGGTTAAGTTATGAAAGACTTTGTGATAAAGTGGAGGTCTGTCCCCCATGAACTGACTACATAGTAAAGACCCGTACAAGATAAAGCTCTGGTCTTTCTATATAACAAGGAATTATTTTTAAACATGCTTAGTTACACTGTACAGTTTGTGAAAATACTCAGCTTGACTTAGGTTAGAAATTTTTTTTTTCTTGAAAGATGTCATAAACTTCAAGAATTGTTTACACCTTTTCTTTTTTTTTCCCCTCATCTCACAAATACTTCTACAGAGCTCTCAGTGCCTGTCAGGACCTAGTTCCACATCTCATGATTTTGCCGGAGTAACTGGGAGAGATCAGGTGCTTTCACACCCCCCGATGTTCAGGATGTCGTCTCAAGAAGGTTTTCAAGAGCTCACACAGGAGCAGAGAGATCAGATGAAGGCAGAAATCAGTGCCATCAAAGAGAGATACAGGAGCCAAAATGGAGTATGGCTTTTATAGTCTATAATTCATATTGAATTTGTGCTTCAATTTTACTTTCTTTTGTACAGAAGAGTAGAGCATCGTTTCTTGGTTCACAAATAATTTCTTTCCCATAGTTTCATTGCTAATGGCGATAGTCACATGAATGAAGGAATAACCAAATCAATCATGAACTTAACTCCTTGCACATATATTTTTCAAAGTATTTTTTATATAATTTTAAGAGAGAGGAACTTTCTCATGTACAAAATAAGGGAATTGAAGTGATCTCCAAAGTCTATTATAATTCCAATATTCTATGAGATTTTGAAGTGTATGAATATATAGTCTTTTGAAGAAATTCATAAGTAGAAGTAACCTCTTGGAAATATTTGTGTCACTAATTTAGCTTTTTGTCATTGTCTTATTTTTTTTTAATTCAAGGAGGATGTTACTGTTGCTCAATCAGGACCAATTAAGAATGCATTAGCCATTAGCCAGGCTCATTTAATTACTGCCCTCAGTAACACAAGACCATCCATTAGTCCAGATGACTGGAAGAATTTTGCTGATCTGTAAGTGGTAACTTTTGATTTATAAACTTAGATATTAATATTTCTAATGTTAATGTTAATCATTTGAAATGCTTTATATAATCAGTTTATTTCAGAAATCACCATTAATATTTATATTTTCAGACCAATTCAGAAAAAAATGAACCTAGTGTATCCATGTATATAGAAAACAATATAGGAAGAGTCAGACTCTAAAGTCACCAGTTATCAGAAATGGGGTTTTTAATCATTCTTTCCTGTGGCGTGAAATTGGGTTATTTTGAATTAAGTTATTTTCTCTTAATTGTTTGTAAGTCCTAAAAAGAAGAACAAGAGCTTCCAGAAAAATCTAATTCTGAAATACTTGATAATTTTCATAAAAATAAATCCTTTCTATCTGCCTTCTCACTTGAAACTGTGGCTAGAACTTCATACCTCTAGCTTTTAAAATGTAGCACTGACTCTGTACATAGTTACTAGTTTTATCAGTGGTAATATTATTATAATATAAAGTTAGAAAAGTATTAATTATATTTTTTCCCCATAGCTATGATAACTTTCAAAATCCAAAGAAGAGGAAAAGTCAAAGTGGATCAGCTTTCCGACCAGGCCAAAAAGTAACTTTAGCATAAAAGTAAACTTTTACTGTTTCATTTTCTTTTTTAATCTAGAAGTGGTATGCCACTGCACTGACATTTTTTAAATGGTATCTGTAAATTTCTCTTTAACTTAACAAATTAAGTTAAGATAATGCAAATTTGTTAATATTCAGGTTAGTGACCAGAATTACTTGCTATTTAATATGGAAGAATAATTTATTTCTAAAATTGCATTCTGTATTTTGTTTCCTTTAAACCAATATTAAGCACTTAATGAAATAATATTGGATGAATGATGTATCTAACTATTTGTCCCTTTGTCTGAAGAGACATTAGAATTTGTAGTTATGTGTGTTTTTTGGAAATCACTGATAGCAACACCTTCACTTGTCTCATGAAAATATGTTCATTGTTTTGCTCCCTACCAACTCCATTATTTAGAGGACTATTTTGGAAATAAATGACATCGTCTTACACACACATCAGATGATAAGTTCTTTTCATGATAATGAAGTGGCACTTTCACATAATTTATATCCATTGGAACTGTGTAATGGTAGAATTTTCAATATTTACTAATATATTTAATGATTTCTGTTTGACCTATAAAAGACATTTTTTTCTACATCTGTTAAAATATTGAATCTAGCATCGCCACATACTAGTTAAGGAAGAAAGCTAAAGAAACAAAAATACAGCATTCAGGAGTAGGAAAATCACCATCGTTTTTTCATGGAGGAAGGAAGCATGCAGACTGCTGTCTGCACCTCCTCTGTTTTTACTGCCTGCTTGCCCTGTCATCACCACTGCCTGAGGGGATGAGGCATGAGCCCAGCCACGGCTTTTCTGTACCTCTTCCCACTTCTACCTCGTTTAAGGAGACCAGGGCCTCATCTTAGCATGCAGATGACCCTCGTCATTGAAGGCAGTGCCAGAGAAGAACAAGCTAGGGAAGCTTTGCATGTAGTCCTGGCATTGGAGGCCAAGGGCCAGGGGAGTCTGCAGAGGCTCATCCCCAGGGCTCGCTGGCCACTGGGGAGTTCCTGGAGGAGATGCCTGTCCTAGGGGCACCAGGGATCCTGAAGCTTTGAAGGACGAAGCTCGGTAGCATCAGCATCTTCCGTTTACTGCTGACTGTTGTCGATTCCCATTGGAGGAATCATCCATTGCTCAAAGAAGGCGTCAGTGTTTGTGGCTTAGTTTTCTGTGCTATTCTGAATTCCCGTTCAAGAATGTTTTTCACAAATTGTACTGTCTGTAAAAAGTTGGGTGAGTTCAAGAAAATGGAAAGTATTAAAAAAATTTTAAAATTATCTTGGGTGTGCTGTGCTAAAGTGGTTTGAGGGGGTGAAAAACTTAAACCAACTTTTCTAAAGCTCCAAGTTGTGAGTCCCAGCTGAGAGAGCAGCGAGACCTTATGGGGGGGAGAGCCAGACGTGTAGTCCAGAGAGACTCAGTGTGCTCGCCAAGTGACCAAAGACCCAATCCCTTGAGCTTTCTGGACCTCGGTTTTCTCATCTTTATAAATGGGGATAGTAATGATCCTACACAGAGTGAAAGTTTAGCAAGTGGGCACAGGACATGCCTTGGGGTCAGGAAAGCCTCTGACCTCATCCTAGCTGTGGGACCCTGGGCACACCAATCACTTAGTCTCAATGCCCCAAGCAGCTTTAGGGGATCTGCACAAATGAAGGGGGCTCCCTCATAGGAGTGCCAATCAAAAGAGAGTATCTGGTCAAAGGTACAGAGCAGAGGATGTGTGGAAAGTGGTTTCCAAAGCATTGAATACTATAAACAAAAATAAAAAATCAGATGAGACACAGTCGAGTGTCGGGTTGTCAATCTATGCCGCTTACCTTCCTTCAGCTGAGGGCCAGGTAGACGTGGGTGGAGCCTGCTGGCACACCTTAGGAAATTTTATACCTTAGAAATCTGAGGGATTTCTGGGGTTGAGAGACATAATTCACCTGAGTTTGAAGAACCAGAGTCTTCAGTTTCACTCCTGACTCTTGGGCCCTCCCATGATTTATCGGGACCTTTTCTGGCTATGCCTCACCATCAAATCCGAGGCTCCAGGGGATGGATGCAGTGGCTCACCGAGTCAGCTCATTTAATGGGTGAGAAGAGTCAGACTCTGGAGTGGAAGGGACCTGCTCATCGTTACATAACTAAATGTTAGCGGCCTTCCCATAGCTCCATTCACTGCAAAACACCTAGTTCTGTAACATGTGGGTGGTGCAGTGGATAGAATGTTACTGGAGTCAGCAAGCCCCTACTGTGGATCCTGCCTCAGACGCTGGCCGTGTGACCTGAAGTCACTGAGTCACTCAGCCTCTTGGAGACTCAAATTCCTTACCTCCCCCACAGGGTGGTTGTGAGGATTGAATGAGATAATTTATATAGGTATATACACACACACACATACATACATACATATATACATATAGCTTTGCAAACCTGGAAAGCACTACGTAAATGCTATCAGTTTTCATTTTGTACTTTTTAAGTATGCTGATTGTTTTGAATTTTATTTTATTCTCAACTTAAGCACCAAAAAAAAAAAAATTTCCATGTACACAATAGAACAGAGAAAAAGGATTACATATGAAATTATAAATGTCCAATAAGTGTTACTTGCTTTTAAAAATGCACATACATATATATTAAATGCAACGTACTTTTAAAGGTACCCTGCTTGTCTCTGTTTTCTTCTGAACTTACTTCTGGTCTCTTCTGTGCATTTTAATGTTTCAACAGCCCACTTTTTTGTTTTTTTGACAACACTATTCCTTAATCTACATTTGTACACAATAGTCCTTTTCCTTTGATCTCTTTGGCACCTAAGCCTAGTGGTAGGGTTTAGGTCAAAGGATAGTCATAGTTTAATGACTAGGGCATCGCTCTCCGGGGTGACTGGACTAGTTCACATCTCCACCAGCTTGCCTTCATGTACCTTGTCTGCCACAGCCTGTCCAACAATTGTCACTCCCCATCACTTTTTTTTTATTATTATTAATCATCTTTGCCAGTCTGAAAGATGAAAGGTGAAACCTCAGAGCTGTTTTTATTTGACTTTTTCTGATTATTAGTTATTTGAAGTATCTTTTCATGTGACTGTTGATATCTTGAATCGCTTCCCTGGAGAACTGTCTGTTCATATCCTTTGACCATTTGTCTATCGAGGAATGGCTGTTATTATTGCTAATGGTTTCCCCAAAAATTTTCTTTTAAGTGTGCAACATAAGGGTTGCTACGTTCTTAGATATGATTCTCTTTTATTTCCAGAGACCAACATTTTTTTTTCCCAGTAGAACACAAGTCGAAAAATAATTATTGGTTAGAAGGATTTCCCTAACAAGTTATCCATCCAGAAAACCTCCAAAAGCAAAAGAAACCTGTATATAATTATACTCTCCATGTCCAGGAGACTTCATCCGAGCACTTCTTCAAGTTATCCCTATCCTAGTTGTTTTTTTTAAGATTTTTAAATTTTTGTACTTTTAAAATAAATTATATTGATGCTTTTTCTTTGTACATCAAGATCATTTCTCATGATGCCAAGCATTGTCCCCACCCCTACAATCTGTGCCACTCATCCATCAACAACCATTGAAGGGGTTGTGGTGGGTTGACACCAATCTGCCCATTGTCCTACTTATCAAAATGTTTCTAAACTATATCTTTACTGTTTAGTTGTGTGTTTCTATGTTATTCGAAAGGACACTGAACTCTTTACTCCCATTCTTATCTCTCATTCTCTCAAGCTTTCTGAAGTCCTCTCTGGAGTTAAGATTTGCTAGGATGTTTCCTTGGTGTAACATTTAATGTTCTTTTACCTAATTCTGCTCATAACTTAATATAGTAATATAGTAATATTATTAATATAGTAATATGTTAAGCTCTTTATGTCCCACAATAGAACAGTATGTTAATGTCACCAGAGTTGCTTTGTAATAATCAATAATACCTGATAACGACTTGAAGTCTTTACCTATATTGATTTATACTTAGTTTTTTTGTTTATACTTTTACTTTGTACTTTTGTTATTATTTATCCTTTATTCTTTTCATTTATATTTTACTGATACTTTATACTTGTATTTTTACTTTTTATTTATATAGAATAACTATATCTCATTTTAGGATTCATTAGAGTACTTATATATTTACTTGATAACCAGAAAAAGTAGTTTTTCTACTGAATCTGAATAATGAAATCAGAAAAATAAAGATAAGCAGTTGTTCCTATATGTACTAAGTGAAGATTGGAAGAGAAAAGGAACTTTGGATTAGAGTTTAAATACTATAGGGATAACACAAAATTGATTTCTATTAGTAAGTTGATAAACATTTATTAAGTGCCTGCAGGAAGCTCTATGCTAGGTGCTTTCAAAATCAAGGCACAGAACTGTAGTAAAATGCCTCAGTAGAGAGCCCCAATGTAGATTTTCAAATTGCAGAAGAATACGATTACCTAAGTAGAGGTGCACTCAGGGAATACATTGATGGAGGACGGTCTAAGAGATGCCTCCCCTTCCTTGCAGATTAGAACCGCAGAAGAGAGCCTGAAATGTATCATTTTCCTATGTCTTTAGTTCTTATCTCATCTGGTATAGTTCCATGGTCTTAGAGGATCTTGAACCTTCCCAGAAGAAAAAATAGGAGCTTAGCAGTCTTTGGAGAGAAAGAAAGGATTATATATTTGTTGTTATTTGCCCAAGGGAAACACAATTTTTTTAGTAAGAAAAAATGGATACATCTTGATTGAACACAACAGATGATTCCCAACAAATATCCAAACCCATCTAAAAAAAATATGTTCCCTCAAAATATAAGTCAAATAAGATTAATGCTAAATAATATTATATGTCACTTTTTGTTTGGAAAGTCTGCCAATTTTTAACAAAAAGGAAGGATATGTTGCTTTAAGTTTGATAATATAACACCAATATTGTCCGTTGTATTTGACCCAGTGTATTTGTTCATTGTATTTCTTAATGCCTTTATTGTTGTCATTGTGCATATTATTTTTGTCTGTTTTATTCATTGTATCACTTTATATAAGACTCCTCATGTGACTGAATTCCTATTTGTTATTCCTTAAAGTGCAGCAATGTATTCCATTATTCAATCAATAAACATTTATTTATTGTGTGTTTAGTACAATATGGGGCAGTGGTGAAGTGGATGGAAGGCTGGGCCTGGAGTCAGGAAGGCTGATTGATGTTCCTGAGTTCAAATCTGGCCTCAAATATTTACTAGCTATGTGACCCTGGGAAAGTCGCTTAACTCTGTTTGCCTCAGTTCCTCATTTGTAAAATGAGCTGGAGAAGGAAATGGGAAACCATTCCAGTATCTTTGCCAAGAAAACCTCAAATGGGATCACAGAGTCAGACACAACTGAAAACGACTGAACAACAACAAATTGTGTGTTGGTTATTTCTATAAATGTTAACTGAAATCATCTTAGGGCAAAGTCATATTGGAGAACATTGGAATTGGGGGAAGGCAAGAATTTGGCCATCTCTCTCTTTCAAAGCCGGAAATCTTGGATATTAAATTAATGTTAAACAAAGTTGTTTCTGGTAGATAAACCTAAAAATGAAAGTATTAATTTTTTTCTTTAACAGCTTGTATCAAAAAATATGAGTGAGGAACTATGTAGTTTTTCAAGTTGTTACAACAAGAGTAATCAGTTTTGTAAAAAACAAAACAAAGAAACGGCCCAGTAAAAGGAAGGCTCTTATCAAAACAGTGTGAAAGTCTGAAAGCAGAACTCTTCTATACTATTGCTTGCATGCTGCCTTTCTTAGCTCAAAGTACTTCAAAAGATTTGATCTACGAGAAGAAACTAACCATTTCTCTTAGTGATAATAAAAGGTGAAGTAAATTAATTTTATAATAAATTACTTGTATAATTGCTAGATATTTTTGAAAAGACAACTACTCTAAATAATTCAGTGCAGGGTCCACAAATTCATACTTTGATCCAGAAAGATATGGTTGCATTTATGAAAAAGATGGATAATCAATTTATGAATTTTAATGTTTCCCATTTAAAAAAAAAAACTTGCCTACAAATAAAATAGAAGAAAGTAATGACTTATTCATTAGTCATTTGACCGGAAGCAATTTAATTTTAAGACCTAGATGTTTCTAAATATGAATAGATAAGGAAACTATTTGCCACCATGAAATACAACACATTTGACTTTACTCCATATGAGCAAACGTGATTAATAAGCTTGTCTTATGATAGCACATTTAACCAAGCATTTGAATCTCAATTTTATGATTGGGTTTTGGGTGGAAA